ATGGAGAAAACTCTTGGCTGGAGACAATCTTGGTTACATTTACACTTGCTCATATTTTCCAGACAAAAAGTAAATGGCGCATCTCCCAAATGTTCCGGCCGCAACAACGCTTTTATTGGTTCCGCTATCGGGACGGAACCAATAATGGCGAGCTGTTATTTTTTTTTAATAACAAAAAAAAAAAAAATTGTCAACTTTAACGTTTTATTTAGATTACAAAAATAAATCATAAGAAAAATAATCCTATTTATGATGTTTTAAAAATTAAGACCTACGAAAGACTGATTTAAGACATTTTAATACCAATTAAGGCCTCAGTTTTATTTTTAAAGAATTCAATGCCTTTTAAGACTTTTTAAGGACCCGCGGGAACCCTGTATATGTGATATATATAATTTTCCAAATGCATATTTTATAATTTCTAAAATGTTTGTACTGCTATCATTTTAATATTCATAATAGTTTGTAGAGGTCATCAAAGGTCAGTGAACATCTGTCAATGCTGAAACTGTGAATTTAATATAAATTATAAGTTGCTAACCTATAAATATAAATGATTAAATTTTAACCTGAAAAATGACAGCGGCACAAACGACAATTTTTGCTGCACAAACCAGCAGAAACGGAGACGAGTTAATTGACGCCCCGGCTGGTTGACTTTTGATGACCTCTAGAAACATTTCTTTATATCATTAAAATGACAGCGCCAGAAATGGAGATTTTTGCAGCACAAACGGACACCGATTTGGTCTGATTTGAAGAAGGTGGGGGGGCAACTTCACTCAGTTTTGTATGAGCTATGAGAACAGCGCATTTTAAGCAGGGTGTGCACGGGGAGAAATGGGTTTGTTCACACTCTTGCACGCACATTTTTTTTTTTTACTGGAGTGGGCGGGTCTTTTAAAAATCCTCAACAATACCTTTAATCTCCTCACAGCGTACGCCTCACACATGTGACACATCATCTGCTCCCTCCTTAAATTTAGTCTTTTATGCCTTTTGTTGGTCACATATAAAAGGCTTCAGAGAAAACTGATTTTAATATCCAAAAAAATCCAGTTAGGAAACACTCATACCAGAGTTTTTGGAAAACAAAAAAAATCTACCCATAGGACATAGCAATATGTCGGTGTTTCAAGAAAGTCACGTGACCAATATATGAGTCGTGTCTGACTTACTAAACTGTGTTTAAAAGCGTATCTGTCAACATGATGCATCTGCTAAAAAATTTGTCTCTTTTGCAGTTTATCATTAAAATTATCAATAATTTTGGAGCAGCCTAAAAGGAATAGGAACGTTTCAGCCGTTGCTTCTTTTTTATTTTAATTTTCTCGCCGTGCCATCCTTTTCCCCTCAGTTATCACTCAACTTATCTGAATTAAAGTTCATTTCAAATTGACTATTAGTTTGCCTACTGATTTTACTGTACTTGTTTTAAAAATTAATTATGATATGAAATATATGAAATATGATTGAAAATCCTAGCCCACAAGCATCCTCATTCACGTTTTCCCCTATATTTTACGTTATAGGGTAACATTATTTATTGGTTGCATCTAAAAATATCAAATATATTTTCAATTGAAACATAGATATAAAATATTATAACCTACAATAACCAAAATTATATCATTTTACTAGGTCATCAAATCAATTCAGTTTAGTCTGTCAAATGAGCTGCCTGTAGTGTCTTTAAATGTCCAGCAGGTGTCAGTATTCTGTGAGACAGCATCAATGCATTTTGATACTTAGTCTAAAAGTTTCAAGATGCCCCATTAACCGATCAGTACTTAGAATGCGCACTTTCATCTGGTTTGGTCTGCCAGCTTCCGTAGCGTCGTGAACTCGCAGGCGCGCGCTTTCA